CTTTTGGATAACTGACAAGGAAAATTTTTAGTCTAAAAATATTATTTTAATACCTTAAAGATAAGTTCTGGGCTAGTAACTGCAACTTCTTCTATGTCAACACCACCCTGTGGACTGCCAACCATAACAGGTCCATTGCAGGCTCTGTCCATCAAAATTGCGAAGTACGTTTCCCTGGAAATATTCAGTGCTTCTGCAACCATCACCTAAAAACAAATACAAGGAAGAAAAAACCAGCAACAGTTCTGACTGGTCCATCTAGCTGGTGACACTTAGTCTGAACATAACTTTGCTTCGTTGAGGTGTCAAGAGTAGTGAATGTTGTAAAATCTTTTGCAATGTAAAAAGCAATTAAAAATTAGCAGAACCAATGAGGGACAGTACTTGGCTCTGCTGTGAAAAAGCAGAGAACATTGTGGCTCGTGTTTTCTACATTGCCTTAAAATGCAGCAGTTTGATACTTGCTATCCTGAAAAGTAACATGTGTTTCACTGCTTTGGTACATTGGCTTTCTGATGCACAGCATCAGTAGTGCTTTTCCTTACCAGTACAGCCTCAGGCTTAAATCCTCTCCCTCATTCTGACAGACGGCCATCCTACACTTACAATCTCAGCACTGAATTCCTACCCTGCCTGTTTCCTAAGGAAATGGGTTTACAGATAATTCTGCCATCCAGCTTTTTACTTTCAGTTTAGAGAGACAAGCAGAAGTGTAACCTTCAGATACTGCCATATTCTACAAGCATAAAAATTTATTTTTCCAAAGAGCTACTTGTTTCTATTTATTACTATAAACTGCAGAGCCCTTTTGTACCAGTATCTGACAGATAGCTCAAGATGCAACAAAAAAGACAATTCAAATCCTACATGGTTTGAATCTACAAGTACTCATATTAAAATTGGGAAGAAAATAGCCGATACAAATCCTTTGTTACAATTTTTTCTCTCCTCCCAAAAATATGCGAAAGCCAAAGTCTTTTCCATCTCAGTATTACAATAACGATACCTTCTTCTTCATCTGAACTGTCAATGTTAACAATAGTTTAACAACAGCTATTAAAGTAATTTCAGAGATTAAGTAGTTTTACACTTGGCAAAGGACTCACAAAACTACGTTTTGATGCAAGAACACTAAATTCCCCCAAATATTATTCATCTTAAAAAAACCCAACTGCATATGATCATTACTAATTGTTCTTTATGATCACAACAGGTGCCATAATCTCAGGTGCAAAGACTGTAGCTCTACTCTACACTACGGCTTTGCTTTTCAACCTGGAAGTTGAGCAGCCACCTCTGCAATTTAATTAGCACTATTGCTTCTTCTGACAATCAACTACATTCTTCCTTAGCAGAGCTACTATTTCCTGTCTTTCAATGGAAGTAGTAGAAATCAGGAAAATCACTTCCGTAAGAGTAATATAATTAAAAAGGTTTAAGTGGCAATGTTTTTCTAACGTGGTCTGTTTAGAAAGCAACAGTTTTGAACAATGACTGTAGACGAAGATTATCGCTCTGAATGAAAGATAAGGTGAAATTCATTCAGCCAGCAGTTCAAACTCCTTAGATCTGAGAGGCATGTACACACCTGCAGTCTTAAAACTCTGCCTACCCAGCAAGATGTGTTCCATCAAATAAGTATTCCTGGGGTTTTCATAGTTCAAGGACTATAAACAAGAAAGATGCACTATACTTTCACCCAAGTCGCTTTTTTGACATTCTACTCCAGAGTACATAAGAAAGAATGTACTTACCTTCTGCCAGGCTGTGCATCTTAACAGAACAGGGAAAAAAAAAAGTGAGCGACATGGAACTGAATAAAGGCCTCTGTGCTCAGAATGGAAGGCAAGATGCTATTTCTTTATGGGTTTTTTTGACTTGGAAGAAATTTTCTTTACAATAATTTCATTTCCTTCTACTTTTACCTTGCTTTATTCATAGAACATAGGATGATATAAAGTAATAGATCACATAAGTGACTGTTTAAAAGCAAACTAAAAAAAACTAGGGTGAAGGAGACAACTAAGAATGTGGAAAACTACTGTACTACTTAAAAGCATCTGCCTACTTTAGGCTTCTATAAAGTGATGCTAAAAGCCAACTTCAGAAACATAGCTCAGCTACCCGCCAGGATTTGTCAAATTAACAAGCAAAGATATGGAAAGCATCCTTGATTTGCTACTATCAGTCTTTTTACCTGCATGCATGTTTTCACCTTCTTACATATCCTGCATCAGTGTATCTGAAAAACGTGAGTCCATTGCTTTAGATATAAGTTAAATAAAATCAACTGGTCCTACTGGATCTTGTCTGAGTTGTTCAGACTGCTTCCAGAGTGCTCAGGGTCAGGGCCAGACTTAGGATGGGAATGCACTCAACAAGTCTTGAGGAATACATTTGCAAGCACAGCAGGTGGAATATACATTATTAAATCAGGTATCTTTTCCACTGCTAATTCCAACCCAAGTGATTGTCCTCACTATCATTAATTAACCATGTCAACATCATCAAACACTTCTCTGTCTTAATTCACAAAACTAGTGAGAGTTTATCTACTTTGTAGCAGGCAAGCTTTCTCTAGAGTAAAAATTGTCAGATTATGCGACATCTTTTATTTCTCCCAACAAAAAGCAGTTACTTTCCTTCACCATCCTCCTGCTTGGATGCAGAGCAAAGCCAGGGAAATAGGTGTTCAAGGTCTTTAAATATTATTTGTCATTCACATGACAAAACTAATTCAAACACATTACTGAACAGTTAAGAGTAGTGAAATTGTTTCTACGGACTGTTGTCTTTTCTTATATTTTATCTCTTTGGCTTATGATAAAAAATGTGAATCATCATTCTCTGTTTACCACATCAGGTTTATATTTAAAATGTCCCAGGGAAAAATCAGTTTTAAAGAAAACTTCCTGATAACTTCAAGCTTTCCTTCTTAAAAGCAAATAATTACCTAAAAGTTTAAGCTACATATTTAATTTCATGAGGGGAACTATAACAGCTCTTTTATACTGAATCAAATATTCAAAATGTTAATTCTGTTATTGCTTGGAGAGAAAACACAGGTAGCAAATTCTCAGGTTGTTATGATAAGAGAAGACTGTCTTCTCAGATAACCAGGCTCTCCAAATTCCAAGCTGCCATAAGAGGATTTTATGTAAACTCACAAAATAGCTTTCAAGTTACAAGGGAACTGAGGAGACTGCTATTTATTTAAGAACCATCAACCTAAAGAAGCACAAACATGCTTTAAATTCTGTAGTAGGTGCACAAGCTGAGAAAGAAAGATGAAAACTCCACTTTCTGCTCTATAATTACTCTAATTATAGAAAATTTCTATCTTTTATTCCTTCCTTACATGTAAAAGGTACGTGACTTCCACTCCCTGACTTGACACTAGCTCATTGTTTGCTTCCCAGAAAGTGATTTAATAACTATTTTCCTTCTGAAAAATGTTTATTATCTAAATTTTCTAAAACGTATGAGTTCAACTCAAACTTTCCAGAACACCAAAAAGTTTAAAAACCACAAAACCTAAAAACATGCCTTTTCTTTTCTTCATGAACTGCAATTTTCTTTAAGTACACGTAGACACACATATTCCTACATACACATACAGAGTGAGTATATGCCTTGAAATAGAACAAAAACGCCAGCTATTAATTCTCAACTTCCCCACTACTCTTCGCAAGCTCAAAGAGTCTGTCTGGCATTTTCCAAGCACTAACTACTCACTGCATTAAATGACATCTTAGACATACTTTTAATTATATTACTGTAGCTTGCCCCTTGATTAAAATTCCCGTGTTTGACATTGTAATCCTGATACTACAAACCTGAATGCCTCAACTCCTTTTGAAGCTTCTAGAGTAAGCTAACTTTGGAATAGATAAACTCTTTTAAAAAAGACATGAATTTTTCTGGGAGATGGTCTTTTGATGACCTAGATGCATAATTTTAAACATGCTTTCTTCACTATCTAACAAGCAATGGGGAAGTCATTAGCATACCATTGGCCAAACTGTTACATAATTGATTTAAAACAGGGTGTATGCTTTCACAATAAATTACCAAGAATCAAGATTTCAACACCAAAAATAGAAAACATACTATTACTCTGTTACATGTGTGTGTGATGAAGATATGAATTGGCCTAGGGCTTTTAAAAGCCAGCTATAATCAGAACGGACATCTATGACAACAGCTGATGAGCTTCTCCCAGTGAAAAGCATCACACTGGCTTATCATGCATCAATATTAAAATACTTTCAAGCTGTGTCCTAAAAAGTTTCCATGTAACTCTACAGCAAAGGAAAAATACACTGTCTATCAAGGCTATACACTTTCCTGTACCACCAAAATAAATATCTGAAGTTCAGTAGTGCAAACTTCACCTTAAACTTTGCATATGTCCTAGCTGCTTACTATTGACCATTGTTTATTCATACAAGCAACATGTGGATGGAGAGGAAAGCAATTGCAAGTTAAATCTTCTATAGCTATTCTACACATGGTACAAAAGTCATCTTAATATAAATCCTTTGAATAATCCATTTCCAAAAACCTCAACGCCTATACCTTTCTTTCATTTCTATCAATTTGGAAGAAAATGAGAAGTTTCTTTTGCAGAACTGAATATGTAAATGAATGAACAGACTTGCACTCAGACAAAAGAGTGAAATTTCCTGTATTGATGTATTCAAAGTAGATCAACTAGGGCAAAAGAATAAAATCAAAGAATTTATAAAAAGAAAGCTGCTTTTACAATACAAATTTTTCAAAGCAGAGTGCCTTAATATGGGAAATGTATATCCTTTTTTATATCCTTAGTATTATCACAATCTCTGACAGGCATGCCTTAATGGCAATACTGTTCCTTCTTTTTAATATCTAGTATTTCTTTTCAATCTGCTCTCCTTGCTCCCCAAGTCACAAACTACCTTCCTCCAGCCCTCATTAGACAGTATCTTTCCAGACAGGTGTTCCCCTTCGATGCTAATATACCAAGCTGTTTACAATATATTAAAAGCGAACTGCAGTTCTTTTCAGCTCCTGCCAAATTATCTCCTGGTATCAAATACAGTGTGGCTCTTGACTGCATACCTGTGTGAAGATCCTTGCTCAGTAAAACAAAGCAAGAGAGAAAAATATATATAGTAGACAGGCAATTGCTATGATTCTTCCCTGTGAGGGTGGTGAGGCCCTGGCACAGGTTGCCCAGAGAAGCTGTGGATGCCCCATCTCTGGAAGGGTTCAAAGCCAGGTTGGATGGGGCTTTGGGCAACCTGGGCTAGTGGAGGGTGTCCCTGCCCATGGCAGGAGGGTGGAACTAGATGGGCTTTAAGGTCCCTTCCAACCCAAGCCATTCTGTGATTTCATGACTTAACAGAATTTGCTAAGGTAAAGGAGGATCTTGCTGAAGGGCTACCTGTGCTTCTCTTCTTTAGGCCAATAGAGAGCAATACATTTACACTGAAGTGAATCTTGGCACCTTGCAGTATGCACCATCATAGGTAAATGATTTACCACATATTAACTGAACCACAACCATGACCACATTTTACTCTGTATCTGCAACAAGTTAGGAAGCATCTACTTTTAGACTTTTTTTTTTTTTTTTGAGTCATCTGTCACTATGTTTAATAACAGTTGCCCAAAGCTGTGCGTGAATGAAATACAGATATTATTATTACTACAGGTAATCATGTATATATTACTTCTCTAAGCAGAATGTCAATAAGCATGTACAGTTAATGCTATACAGTTATGCTAGCATTTAGTATGTATTTGACGAAGGATGAACCTATGACAAAGGATTCCCTTTAACATGGGTAGCAGAAATGAATTTCTTTTTCCACCACTAGGTACACTGAAATTGATAGACAAAATACATACACACAAAGAAAGAAAAAGTAACTTTTTTTTTTTCATCAACTAGATGCAATCAATCAGGCATTGGAGAAGGAATGATAAAAATAAATCTATGTCATATATCCCAGTATATTAATGCAAAATTGCAGCTGAACACAGTTCTTAACTTTCAAGAGGCAAAAATCTTACCTTTTTAACTATCACACCATCCTTTGGAGTTTGCTTTGTTGACAGATTGTACCCAATCATCTGTTTAGCAAGCTGTTCAACAATCTTAGGGCTACAAACAAAGGAAAAAGATTAGTTTATTGAAAGATATTAAAAGAAACAGTCACATAACTATTGTAAACAGCTTAAATATTACAACAGAAGCAATTCATTTATGCTTTTTCCATTTTAAAGACTTACTCTTTAGTCAGATGAACTCCTCCTTTCAATCCACTATTGAAAATACCTTTTCCTCTCCCTCCAGCCAGAATCTGTGCCTTCAAAACAATTTCCTTTGCCTCTGTAAAAGGAAAACACATTGCTATTCTATCGTGTGTCATTTATTGAGCTTGTTAGTGTAAGCTTAAAAAGCATTTCCAGGTTAGATCTTTAAAAACAATCAGAAGTTGTTCATAACTAGTGAGCAATAAAACAAGAGTCAATTCAGCATTTTTACAAAGCAACCTTGCAACAAAGAATTGTTCAAGGAAGTTAAAGGATAAATATACACTACTCATTAGCTCGATAAGTATGTCATTATTTAAATCAAACCCATGCTATTAATGCTACATGGCCTGCACAACAAACCATGTAACCGGCATACAATACACTTTGATGGCTTACACTCCAGCACTGTTTTTTGTCTTGAATGCACAACAAATGCTCATCAAGGAAAATAAATTCCATTCCTTGCTCTGAATACATGTAAGCAAACCTATGGATGTGGTCCTAAAAGAAGAAATGCCCATCTCCAAAGGGCAGGTGGGTGTAGAGGAAGGGCAGTAGCTGTGAAAACATGTTCATCTACTTCTGAGGCATCATGGAAATCTTTGGCAATGTGAGTGTAACGATATCTTAGTAACAAGAAAGTGCAGCAAGACACAGTGAGAAAAGTAATTGGACCAAGACCTATGTTCCAAACAGAAGCGGTCCTGACATCCTTACAGAGTAAACTGGGGGGAAAGGAGAAAGAAAAGAAACAACCAGAACCACTCCTTATGATTTCTGCAGATCCATGGGCACTTCTCGAACCATAAAGACCTGCCAGGTGCCTATAAAATGTTTATTAATACTGAATACTGTACTTTGCACATTTACCATAATACTGCCATGTCCTTTGCGAAGTTTGAGATCCTAACATTAACATATCGTTAAGTGCTTCCTAGAAAAGACTAACATTGTTATCCTTCCGTGATTGAGTCAATTCCCTCTGAAGCCTGTGGAAACCTCTGATTTCAGTGATGTTTGGATTAGGCCACACCTCGAATCACAATACCAGTATGCAATAAAATATGAGAATCTGTTGTTAAATTGACAGATTTACTGTTTAAGTGGCACAAATGATACGGATACTTTCATTCAAACAAACACAGGCTTTCTAGGCTTGTATCACATAAAAATATTTTCCAGACAATTAAATATAAGTTTAGAAGTGTGGCGATTTTTGGCGCAGCCCAACTCTGACACAGCATCATTTCAAAGTCCCAGTATAATAAATTTCAGCAACTAGCAAAAAAGCTGGATCTTAGGATATAATAAATATTATGAAATAAATCTTCTATTTCCTGTTTTAAGACAGAAATGCATTTTTAACACAGCTATTGGAGGTACTGTACTAAGAGATGCCTCATTTCAAGCTTCAAGGTAAAATCCCTCCATGTTTATCCATTCACTGCCATTTGACATATATCATTCTGAACCTGAAAAGCATTCTCCTTGAAATACTTCATGCATTCCAATATATTCATGTTCTGGGCTCCCTATTTTTCATGCCACTGCAAGGCAGATAACAAGGAAATTTAAATGCAACAAAAAGTTTTATATCAAGTGTTTCCTAAGCACACGAATTATTAAGATGAATTAAAACTATAAATCACTTTCCAACTTGCAGAAGTAAACTCTACAATCACAATAGCTGCTGTGATGAAGAATCTAATATAGTATTGTTAATAGATGCTGCAAACATTTAATTAGATCAGGTTTAGGTACCGTCCATCCCAACAATGTGAGTTTTGATTGTCAGTGATAGGTGATATCAATTATGTGAGTGATCATTACCCTCACCCTTAACCAGCACAATACATGAGCATCGATTATCTCCATTTGCCTACAACAAATGAAGTTAGAGAAAGGAATTAATGTGTACGTTTTTATAATCCACTAGAGGACTATCAAAGCAGTACAATAACTTCAGAAAAACAACTATCAAAACCATAAACAAACACACTAGAAAGTAAGCATAAGCATGTAAAGATTAGACCTGAAGAACTAATCAATGTAGCAGCACAGTACAGCAGATTCTTCTTGCCCCAGGGAAACCAACAGGAAGCAATTTAATTCAATAGTTATTTGCCCAAGTTCCGTAAAATGAGGTAAACCAGCCAGATCTTATTTTACAGTAACTAGGCTTCATCATTCAGTACTTACCAAGTTGATTCACTACTTAACGTCACCATTTTATTTAAAGAGCCGATTTCTAGTAATGCTCACACAAAGTTTTTATGCTAGCTCCTGCCTGAATTATGTTATGGAAGAGTATTCCAAAAGAAAAACTGTGATTTTAGCTGGAATACATGAAGTAATTCACCTTCACTTGTAGGTTCTAATAAAAATACATAAATAATTTTAAAAGTAGTATGCTAAGTATTAAACCATTACTGCTGTAATTACTTTCCATTAGCACCCTTCCAAACTCCTGTAGTAACACAGGAAAAAATGCTTAAGCAGGTCTCTAAAGTTATAAATACTGGATTTGAAGAGAACCTAGCACAAGCGATGTGTCCTTACACCACCACAAAGTATAGCGTGATGTTTTCAACAGCACTGCATCCGGTAATTGAGGCTTCAAACGAACTCCTGTTTAAGTCCACTGACTGACAAGCCTTTGTGCAAATTAAAAACCAAAAAAACCAAGAAAATCAACCAAAACCCAAACATACCCAAATAACAAAACAGACTGCTTCTTAAGTGTGCACAGATTTTTTTGTCACAGATTTAAAATTTTCTTTGTCATTCAAACCAATACAAAAAAAGGCTGCTTTTAAGTGTTGCTAATTTAGTGGCAAATAGCCGCAAACTGCTCCATCCAGATTAATGATGCATTTCTGGTAACAGCATGTGTTCTTAACTAATTATAACTTCAATACGTTAATATCTTAGACTTAACAGTTTATTCGCTGGATCTTATCTTTCTCTTTTTTACATTAATCTACAGAAAAAGAGACATATGAATGTTTTGAAAAAGTCCTTCAAAAACACAGAGCAAAATACAGCTCGTCCCTAAGTCAGATGTCAATAAATAAGCAAGACCTTTACTCCTCAGAGAAGCCCTCAGAGTTTAAAATTTCACAACTGTAGTTGGGTCTAACCACATTTCTAAGAAAGAATGAATCTAATCACATAGGAAAAAAAAGCCTTAAGTACTTTTAAATAAATTTAGATGTTTCAGCAGAACAGAATATAACACTCTGAGGGACAAGCATCCTCTGCACTACATTCAGCAACACATCTCCTTCCCTTCAGTCAGCGCTGTGAATACAAATGGCAGAGATACTCCTTGCGATTGTAATAGGTTCAGTTTTATAATGAAAGCCTATTTAAAATCAATAAAATCAGTCCTGCTTTTGGGAGCTATGATTACTCTGGTCCACTGGTACTGCTTGCAGCAAAAATGAACAGCTTGTTCTCAGCCCACTGCTGTGTATATTTAACTACTGAATTCTTGATCATGAAACAATATACTGAAAACCATAGATCTGCTAGTTATATGGTATGCTAATTTATTACCTGTGAACAACTTCCCATTATTATTGATACGACTGCGTGATTGCAAATTAGGCGTGTTAACAGCTACATTAAAATGTGCTGTAGCTTATAAAAAATAAACTACTGTAAAGAACAGACAATGTAAGACAGCACAGTATTAGGCCACATTCTTGCCTGTTTACGAACAAAAGATTTTATACCAGGGAGTACTCAAGGCTCCTTTAGCAAGGCACCCTACACTACAGAAGTAGAGCACAGGACTGAAAGTGAGGAGGTCTCATATGAAATCTTAATCACATTTCCGTCCCACCATGTGACTTTCAGCAGTTTGGCTTCCCTATCTGCAGGGACTCTGTGAAAATTAATTAGCATCTGTACCTCTTTTAAAAATGCACAACCTGATTCAGTATTACATATAGTGTATTTTTATCCTGATGTAAAGCAACTGATTACAGGAGAAGGGCTGACTGCAAACCCCGGCAGCATCACAAGTACTGCAGCAGCAAAGAGTCACTGGAGAACGCACTGATACGTCCTGTAAGGAGCTTAGTACGCATTGCAAAATAGATGGAGCAACCCAGTGTCATGGGAGCAGTGCAATGAAGACAAATTGAGGACATGCCAAATCAACATCTTACAGAAGCACTGTCTCCTTACTGACCTGAAGGTGAATATAAACAGTGAGTTTATAAACACTGGAGAGCTGTTCCCACAAAGGCAGCAGGTGTTAACAAGACCCCTCCATCCTTCAGCACACACAGGAGGACCCCAGCCCAGTGGGGTTAGGCAGATATTAATTAATTTCAAGAACTTTGCTAGTCACCCTTCTTTGGCTAAAGTCATTAAGCAGCGCTTGATGAGCAGAATTCTTTCAGCACATCCCCCTTCCTTAAGTCCTGAAAAAGCTGGATGGGGTACATGAATCTGCAAACAGCTCCAAACTCTCCACCTCTACAAAGAGGCAGAGGCCAATCTAATGATGTATTTACCTGTTAAGACTCCTCTGAGCTTCCCTTCCCAAAGCAAGGTTTTTCCCCACTCTGCTTTATAATTTAACTTTTGTAACATGGAAGCTGAGGAAAACATGGCAGATACAACAGACATTTTCTGACAGCAATTATACTTCATTTTGGATAGCACAAGAACTATAAAGACATCAACGAAACCCAGAACACCTACATGCTGTTCCTACTCCAGTTTCCTCATCAGTGTTGATGCAAAACTGCAAATGCTCATGTCCTGTAAGGGTTCTAGATAACCTCTCCCAAACTGCATATCTGCAGCTCAGAGCTTGTCTCCAAACCATGGAGTTCCCTTACAAGCCCTGAAAGGGTCAAGTTTGGGTTGGCATAAGTGTGGTTTTTTACCTACCTTTGGCTGATCAACAGTAAGGAAACCTATTTTTGGGGGTCTCATCTGTCCTATTCTATTGTTGTTGCTTGCTTCTTTCTTGTTTTACTGCTACCACTACCATCTGAGTTTCTAGCTTCCCTTTGGGAAAGACTGGCTATAATTCATTTTCCAAATT